TAGATATGACAATCAACCACAAAATTCTCTAAACCAGATAACATTAAACATAATCCAAAAAATCATGTGTCAATTCACGAGTTTGCTCACAGAGCACTTTGATTTAAAGAACCAAATATGCTCAGAGGAGAGGACCATTATCACGTGATAAACACGATTCACTCTATGTAACAACAAAGGTGTTTGTGGATTTCTGCAACTCTTTCGATCACGATGGCTGATCACAACCAAAGGAAGATAACATGATAGGTCAGATTATTAATATAAATCACTCTCTTGGTGCTAAATTAAAGCAAAAGGTCAGCAGTAACACTGCTCTACAATTCCAGTCTCAGTAGAGGGGCTCAATGTGACATAGCAACTTTCTTAATATAATTGTTCACCAGGCGACTGCCGCAATTTGCTGTTTACCAGTTTTCCTAAACCCGGCTACAGGTTGGAGAATCATACGGTTCGAACTATTGAAGTATTCGACGAGGATCTCTGCAGGTTACAATGCTATCTGGAACCTAACTGTGTCAGTTATAACTTCCATAAGCTAAGACAGGCGTCTGGAACACACAAGTGTGATCTGAATAACGCGACCATTGAACACGATGGAGAACTGGTAAAAAACGAAAGTTACGTTTACCGCGGAGCTGAGGTGAGGATGACGTTTTTAAGCCAAGAGTATGAGACTTTGAAGTCGTTGAGGCCTTTTCACAAGACTAAGACTAAGCATCCCTCGACCTCTGCCACTCCTCTAAATTCTCCTTCCACCCACCAGAATATAGGTTACGATAATTGAACGTTTAAAATGTTGGAATAAAGAATTAAGAGAGGCATATTTTGTTATTTACGAATGACCGCTTATGGAGCTGTTTTTTCACATTTATAAGATACACGCAGACTTTGCTCTCGCTCTGAACAGTGCCATGCTTGGAACGGGAACAAATGTGCTCAACACAAACATTTGCGTAAATAACAAAAAAGCTTGCGCGAAATACATGGACATGAGGGAAGACGCGCAGATTTTACAAACATGCATAACATTCAGAACTCGCAAACATGAATACACGCGCAGAAGACAAGCAAAAAAATTGAAGTGGTCGTATTCTTTTCCTTCTTAAGAATGCTTGCGCCAGTAATCCTTGCAGAAATAATGCAACGTGCCAAGCTGGCTTTACACACAGAGATTATCAGTGTTTGTGTGCTTTTGGATCTGGATTTGAAGGCCACGATTGTGATAAAGGTGAGGAATCCTCCAAATTTTTTTGTAGTCAGTAAAATAAATGTGTGGCCATTTCTTATCTGACAACGGGAACGTTAGCATGGAGGCGAAAACACTTGCGGCCAGAGCACGTCAAATACACACAAACCCTTATATAAATGTGGCGCTCATTTTGTTGTCTCAGACATAGATGAGTGTTCTAGTGTAACAAACGGCTGTGATGAGAATGTGAAGTATAACAATACCCTGAGATCTTACAAGTGCATCTGTGAAGATGGATTTCATGGAAATGGAACCAACGGCAAAGGTTATTTAGTTGTATCAAGTGAGTTGATGACGTAAAATAGGCCACCGTTAGTCCTTCGTCAGAGCAAATGGGGGAATTGCGGGTTGTGTGTCTGTTTATATCCGGAAAATGGAGCTACGGTATTGACGGGAACATGGTAACGAGAAAATTCGAATAAAGCAGCTGGCTATAAAATCCCAAAAATCTACTAAGGCAAACAAACGAGAAAACAATAAAACCACAAAACACAAGATAACAAAATAAAAACAGGTTCCGTACAAAAGATGCTTCTTTTTTAATTCTCTAGACTTGGACGAATGTGCTGAGGGAACACACAACTGTGATGCGAATGCTGAGTGTAACAATACCTGGGGATCGTACAACTGCACGTGTAAAGATGGATTTGGTGGAAATGGAACTAGCTGCAAAGGTAATTTGGTTTCATCAAGTGAGTTGATAACGTAAAATAGGCCACTGTTGTGAGTTTAAAATCTAAAGTTTCGAGCGTTAGTCCTTCGTCAGAGCAAATGGGGGAATTGTGGGTTGTGTCTGTTTATATGCGGAATATGGAGTTACGGTATTGGTGGGAACATGGTAACGATACAACAAAAATAAAATAGTTGACTGTAAGATCTCAAAAATTAATTAAAGCAAACAAACGAGAAACAACAACACCACAAAACACGAGATAAAAACATGAAACAGGTTCCGTATAAAGGATGCTTCTTTTTTAATTCTCAAGACTTGGACGAATGTGCTGACGGAACACATAACTGTGATGTGAATGCTGAGTGTAACAATACCCAGGGATCGTACAACTGCAAGTGTAAAGACGGATTTCGTGGAAATGGAACCAAATGCACAGGTAACTGTTTATAACATATTATTCTATCTTATCTCTACATATTTTTCTGGTGGACATAGCACCAGACTTAAACTTGTACAAGAGTGTAATTTCCCTAATTTCTGTAGGGTATTCTACCGGCAGCAGGCCCAGCAGAACG